TTCAGGGCTGGTAGCGCTGATGCGATATAATAGTAGTGACTTTAGTGACTAAAATTACGGAAATAGTGACCAAATAGTGACTTGTAAATACTAAATAAGTAAGCATTTATATGGTAACATAGAAATTCAAATACGGTTTGATATTGAAATAAAATTTTTATGTCATGAAACTCAATATCAAATGTCATAAATTCTTCTAATTTAATCGAATCTCACAACGGAAACTCCTGTGAAGAGCATTTGAAGTGATTTGAATAATTTACTGTTGCTTACGTTATACATGATGACTAGCAAATAGTAATTCCCATTTTTATGATCTTGAATTTGAATCTGCGTTCGAAATATCTAAATATTTGATATTTCTAGGTAAATAACTTTTGATAATTTACTATGAAATTTTCACAGAATTTCTTCAGAATGACCTCAAGAACTTTTTTAGAATAATTCCTCTTCTTTTAAACTTAGAGGCAAATAAGCTTTTAACAAACATAATATTGCATTCTTGAAATTCTTTGCAGAACAATCAACAAAATTCTTGAAAATAGATCATTTTCGTAGTTGGTGAGGAGATGAAAGTGAAGAGTTGATAGTTCCGTTATAGTGTGGCAGTGTAGAATTTGTATATAGAAAGTAGAAAGCGAACAAAAGATAATTTTGAGGAAGGTACGAATAGGGTAGAGCATCTCCTTTACCAAGCTCATCCGTTAATGAGGGATGGCTGCCACCACTGGCAAAAGGGATGATCGCCGATTTGCTCATTTACTTCTGATGTGCGGAAACAGTTCTATTGATTGTTTCACACTCAAGTCGCCATCTGACGTAAACAACTACCCGATTCGTACCTTCCTCAAAATTGTCCATTGCTCGCTTTCTACTTTGATAAACAATTTTCACACTGCCGTACTATAACAGAACTATCAACTCTATAATTGAATCTCCTCCTCGGTCGTATAAAATCTCCACTTTAAGTCTGATATTTGACGTTAAGCATCTCCGACTATGTAAATCGTTAAATTCACGCAAGAAGTAATAACACATGATTAGTTAAAGTAGATTATTTTCGATATTTTATTGATTCTTTTAGAAATTCCCTGAAGGCTCCATCCATAAATCCATCCTTAGAATTTCCATGCAATTAACCTCAGAAGTTTTATAAATTTCTGCTTAGAATAATCTTGGACTTCTCCCTTGCATTCAATTGGAAATTCAATTCGTATTCTCCTTAGAATCCCCATAGTATTTCCTCAGAATTCTCAAAACAAAAATCCATCACAAACTTTGAAACTCTTCTCAGAATTCCTTTGAGATTGAATCCTCAAAATTCGATTCCATTTGAATTCTTCTCGGAATTTATTTCGAACTCTTTAGAATTCTCTTGAAAGTATCGTCCGTAATCACCCCAGAATTCTTTTAGAACTATCCGCAGAGACCATCTTTGGAGTTAACGGGATTTTCATGGAATTTTCATCAGAGCTCCCTTAAGCAAAATTTCAGAACTAATTTTGAATTATTATTAGAATTGGACCTAGAATCCTCATCCAATCATCACAGAATTCTTCTCAGAACTCTCGTTAAAGTGCACTCTCAATTACATTAGAATTATTTCCAAAATTGTTTCGGAGCTGAATTTTGCGTCTCTAATAATTTAAACAATAATCAAAGGGACGCTCGTATGTGTTAAGCCAACTTTAACTATATAGAGAATTTTACAGAACACTTAATTTTACATGAGACTTTCGTAGTCTGTACTTTGGTATTCTTCTCTGATATATCTTGGTGTCTGCCCTAGAATCCTTCAAATTTCTCTTTTAAATCGAAATTGAAGGCATTTCCAAATAGTTTTCCTGGTGTTCTAACGTTTTGCGGTCCACTGGTCACCCTGGCTAAAACTTTCAATTATAATATGTATGTTTTGTTAAAAATACTGTAGACTTTCTTTGTGCCTAGTAAGTAAGTAAAAATTACTTTAGTGACTATTTTTAGGGAAATAGTGACTTTAGTGACTTTTTGGTGTAAAAAGTGACTTTTTAGTGACTGGCTTCAAAATAGTGACCAAGTCACTAAAAAGTGACCTGCTACCAGCCTGAGTATTTTAAATTTTCCGCAAATTGTCAACGATTAAGGAATTTCTTAAATATCGTATAAGTACCACGAAGTTTGTAGAAATTCTCAGAAGTTCGTAAGACTTCCATCAAGTTCGAAGAAATTTCTTGAAGATCTGAGACCTTCCTTGAAGTTTGAAGGACTTAACAGAATATATGAGGACCCTAAATTTAGAAGAGCTTCCCTGAAGTGCATAAGGTTTTAAATATCGAAGGGTTTTCCAAAAGTTTGTGGGTTTTTCCTTAATTTCTTGGAAACTCCCTGAAGTTTGGAGAGCTCCCATGAATTTCGTAGGACTACCTGTAGTTCAATCGACTTCTCGGAAGTTCTAGGAACTTTTTTGAGCTTGGAGAACTATAATAAGTTCAGAGGACTTCCCAAGAGTATTGAAAACTTCTCTGAAGCTCGGAAAAAAATCCATAAGTGTCATAGGATTATCCTTAAGTTTTAAGAAATGCCTAAATGTCGTAGAAGTTACATTAAATCTGTAGAAAGTTCTGTAAAATTCGTAGTTTTTCCCCAAAGAATAAAGGACTTCCTTGAAGTTCGTAAGACTTCTCTGAAATTTGTAGAACTTCTCTGAAACTTGTTAAACTATCCTGAATTTTATAGAACTTGCATGAAGTTCGAAGGCCTTATCTGAAGTTTTTAGAAATAGAACGTTATTGTTGAACAGGTACTTCAAAGTAGTTACGCGTCGGCACTACTTAAGTCTGCTATCAATTAAGCACAAATCATACATGCAATTGATTCGAGAAAAAAATTACATTGAAAATAAATACAAAATATATTTACTTAATTCTCAGGGTAAATTTTGTTCATCAATGTTTAGTTGTGTGAAAGATTTAGCTTGAACAAAATGGTTAGTTTTGACCTGATTATAAAAAGAAACTTTGACGTACATAAAATTTTAAACCTATTTAAATTATACAAACAAGATTATTTTCCTGGTGGACTTATGAAATTCCTGGTGAAAATAAATTCACGACTTTTTCCCGGTTTACTTGCCACCCTGCTTTATGTGCTAAAAAATAATATCCACAAGAATATTTTAATTTTGAAAATTTATTAGGCTCTAAGGTCGCATAAAGGTTTCATATTATGTTCCATAATTAAGATAATATTCAAATTCCTGAAATTTGAAAATTTGGTGTAAGAATCTCATTATTTTGAATTTTGTGAATAGTGGAAATGGCTCTAATGTTGGCCTATGGATCTAAGATTGGACCCATCGCTAAAAATCAACTATTTATCAATTTTATCTAGATAACGCGTCATTGGGACGGTACTAATGGATATGTTTGGTCGCTATTAAAAATTTATGTATGGGCCTAAATTAGGAGCATTTAGGCCGACATTACATCCATTTCCCTCTATGTTAATTTTTCTAAGGGCACTACCCGAATATAACCATAACCATAAAATTGATTTTTGCATAGTTACGGTAATTTACAACCCCCATTTTCTATTTTAAAAGTTTCATTGACAATAGATTTATTGTACATAACAATAAGTTCTATTGAATTTCCATTGTTTTGACAGCATATTTATGGTAGTTACTATTAGATTCTATTATTTTTTAATGGTACATGTTTATTCGGGTCGACCTACATAAACGCGAACCACAACTTGACCTTACCGAAATTGGTTAAACATTGTTTATAATCCCTGCTAAACTTTAACTGAAATGGTTATGGAACTTTACATGAGCGTTTGCGTGATGAAGTTTTAACCTTATGTATTATGGTTCTTTGGAAGTGTACCTTACAAATAATGGGTTGTTAAAAACCATTACCATTAAAAATAGTTATTTTCTCCATACATTTTCGGAGAGAGGACTATATTAGAACCTTTATACTTATGGGTTGAGAACTTTAATGGTAATGGTTATGGTAGCCAGTAAGGTTTTTATTGGTTTTGTATTAAAGGTCAACTTTACGTGGAATATATCACGAATTAGCGATCAGTAATTTACAGGCAACCAATTCGCGGTATATTCCACATAAAGTTGATGGATGTTACAAAACCATCTATGAACCTTACCGACTACCATAGCCATTACCACTTAAGTTCTCAAATCATAAACAAAATGTATGGAGAAAACAAGAATTTGGAATGGTAATTGTACCATCGGCGTACACATCAGAAGAATATGTTGCCATGATTTGTAGCCATGGTACGAAAGTAACAAACTGAAAATATTTTGTGAGTTTAGTTCCAACCACCGAAGAGACAAGTCGAAATATAATTAGCTCTTAAACCTAAAACTAGTTTCCTTCTCTTTGAGAACACAACATATTTTGGCGACGAGGTAAAGTTCCTGCGATTTTCCGGAAGTTACTGTTCCTATTTTACGCAACGGCATGAAACAATGGTTTAAAAAAAAGCAGCAAATATTGACCTTACCACTGAATTTGAACAAATTTCACATCCCGAAAGACATTCCAAAAACACCTTTAATTCCCAGTCGAAATGTTTCATTGATAACAATTTCCCGTCCCAGCGGCAAACACGGCAACACTGTCAATCACTCTTGGCAAATGGTGCTTTTTCACTGACACAAACTCGAACATCATCATAATCAAAAACCCCCCGCGCACACAACGAACTAATCCACGCAATTACACCAGCTTCCACACGCACACACTGCCACAAAGTGGAAAACAAAAAAAAAAAGTCAGTCGACTCAGCACAGCCACCGCCGTGTACCCGTGCCACAGTGTGCGAGAGTGAGAGAGCCCAACGAGAAGCACCAAAAGCAACACCAAACACCTGCGAGAAAAAGAGAACGCAAGAAGCCACAGAAAAAAAACGCTCCCGGGAAGTTTTTTCGCGTCCGACTCCATCCAACGAGAGGCTTTTTCAGTCTTCCCAGTGGTAGAAAAAATGATCCCAACCTTCCGGCGGATATTCCCAGTCGAAATTCTGCCACTTCCTTCACTGAAACGAACTGTTCTCGTTCACCAACGGCAACTCTAGCACTTAGCACTCGCGATCCTGGCTTCAGATGCCATCAGAAACACTTTTTTCACGAATACACTCCGCACAATACTATCGCTCGTTATCCGTCGTGACCATGGCGGACGGCCATTTTAAAATAATGTACGACTTGAGACCGTCGTTCGGCCGTGGAGAGAAGAGAAAAAGATCTTTGAAACGCACAACACACAACGAGAGGAGCGCGGGCGCTGATGCGAGAGCGAGTACGGGTTTTGTATGGGAAATGTTGGAAAATAATAAACTTTCGCTTTCTTTGTCTGGTCCACGGCAAATCGCCTACTTGATGTGCCAATCGATCGAACCTAATTTTATTGCTATCTCGTTTCCCCAAGTGCAAGTGCTGCTTTCACGGATACAAGTTTTCCACCAGCAAAATCTCTTCTCTCGCGGCAACCGGCAAAGCAGGGGTTTAGTGGTTTTGACAACATGCGTCAATTTAAAATTGAACCAAATGGAAAATTAAACGCAACACTCACCAAGGGTAGTAAAGACAGGTGATACAGTTTATATGCCTCATGCACGACCGATGAGAGGTCACTTCTCTCAAAAAGATATTGTGCACACTTAAACAGAGACCCTGAGTTCGGTAAAAAAAATTAGCGTCTTAGATCGGTAATCCTAAAAATTACAGATGTTTCGGTATTTTCTCGCTCTATGGCTGAAAACTGTAAATAAAATTACCGAATTTCGGTGATTTCATTTCAATTCAACGAAAACGGTAAATCAGCTTCATCACTGACTTCGGTGAAATATTTTACTGAAGTGTCGGTAAACAAACCGTTCCATTACCGAGTTCGGTAGTTTTCACAGCGAGAAACGTCAAATTCACCATATTGTGATTTTCGACCTTCTTAAAAAAATGTAAGTGGAAACTTGTGAAAAATAAAAAGTTCAATTATGGAGGCTGTTATGGACCAGCTGCAACACCAAGATGAGCGATTCGCAGATATTTTCCGTAAGTAATGATATTTCGTTATCTAAATAAATACCCATTGTTACAGATGGCTAATGCTGTTGCTTGTTTTTTCATCAATAACCACATAAAAATGAAAGATTTTATACCGGCAAACACAATTTTTGATTGTACATATCAGAAATGTGATGCAAGATAAAAAAAACTTCTATTCTTTAAAACGCCATATCATTGAAAAGCATCCACTTGAAAGCTTTGTTCCAGCCCGAAGTATCACGAAGGGAAACGATCCACTCGGGGAAACCTTTTTCATCGGTCATGAAATGCCTACTCAATGCAATGAAGGAAGTTCTACCCGTGAATCAGAGACATCATTGAATGAACTTAACAAAAATATTCATCGGAGTATTTGTATTTAATTTGTATAATTGATAAAACCCGAAAAACACATTGAAACAATATTAAAGCGAATTAAATTTAAGTCGGTAGACTTTTAAAAAAATTACAGATCTTTCGGTAATTTTCATTTTCCATATCGACTCCAAAATTACAGTTCTCCGGTAAAATCAATTACAAATCAAGCTTGTTTTTTCGGTAAACGTTACCGATCGTTCGGTAAATTTGACAGCTAATTTTGCTGATTCAGTTTACAGATTTTTCGGTGATGTTCTCGATTACCGAACACATTACCGACCGTTCAGCTGTTGAGAATTCGGTAAATGAATTACCGAAGTCGGTAATTTTTTCTAAGTGTGTGGGTTATTTTGGCTTTTAGACTCTCGTAAAGATATTCGATGGTATGGAAAACATAAGTTCACACGTCAAATCAAAAAGGGAGTTGCATATAAACTAACCGATTCCCGACCAACCGTTCGTGAAACTTCTTCAAAGTTCTTTATACAGAAATAAAGATTTATGTCGGCAATTCTTTACTCTAAATTTTCTATGATTTCGATGTACCAACATGTACACATTTAAAAATCTTTATTGATCGATACTTACATTTAAGATTATTTCTTCATCGGTCATATGATAATAATCTATAAAGGTGACATCCAGTATTTTACGATCGCTAATGGCCGCCACAATCTGGCTGAGTTTCTGGTAGGGAACATAAGATTTGAAGTTTGGGTTGTGTCGTTTGACGTGTAAACGATCAAATTTGAACGTTTATACGTCAAACGACACAATCCAAACGTTCCCTACCAAAAACTCAGCTAGATTGTGGCGGCCATCAATACTCGTAAAATGCTGGATACTAAATTTCTCTTAATTTCGATATGTCACATGGACTTTAGTATTCTTTACAAATATTCATCAATAAATATTTAAATACTGATATCATCGTAACTTTGAACTTTGACAAAGAACAACAAAGATTGCCATCGATGCACATTTATAATCTCCTTGTTATCGATTTGCATCGCTGGTTAAAGAGAATTCGAGACACACCAGGTGACAGATGGCAATGTTTATATTATTTATCGACATATTTGGAATTTCATCGGAAGAAGCAATCTGCCGGTAAATAAAACGAGAAGACCGATGGCCGCAGCAAATGTTTACCATTGTAGTTCTTCAAGTTTACGTCTATATATTTAATAGCCCGTGATAGCATGCGTGGTGGGATTCTCGGCATTTGGAACCCAATGAGGAAAATTGATACCTTTTTGACCTCTATTACACTTACATGGCTGACTGGTTGATGGCGAGGTTGATGGTTATGACAAATAAATTTATATAAATATTGAATTCATGCATAAAAAGATTTACAGAAATTTCAATACTCCACATACTAGAGTGTGTTTGCCTGTCGTTGATAAGCTCATCAACAGCAGCCGTGGATCCGAGGATTAGCAACCAACAACTAAATCAGTACATCCCAGATGGCATGGGATCGAAACTAGAAATTATGCAGATAAAAAATCGTAAATAAAATCCTTAGTTGTGTATCGATATTTTGATTTTACAACAGAAATCGATATTTTGATCTGGCAACACAATCGATATTTTAACATTGGTAACGATTGGTAGCAATATTTTGAGAAAGATCTTTATAAACGATTCACGATTAGACTTTTAGCATCTTTACAATTATTCATGAAATGGTGACGATCGCTATCGATTTTTCTTATGCATGGCGTTGAAGATCGATGTATGGAAAATTAAAGAAAATAACTAAATGGTTGGTCGGGTTATTCGATACGCCTCCCTGGAATCAAATATATTATAGTACTACACACATGCATAAAAATTTACTGTCGAAACAAAAATATTTGAAGTAAATTTAAACGTAAATTCAGTTTGTTCTGGCCAAAAACATAAACTAGGTTGATTTCAAACATATTCCTTGTTTGAATCCTTTGATAATAATGTTTAAAACAAAAATAATGTTACGTTTATTTTAAAAATATTCGTTTTCTCGCATAATCAAAAACTGTTCATAAAGTGGTACTTCTTACACGCAGAAAAAACTATCGTCGAAACAAAAATATCTGAGGTAAACGTTTGTTCTGGCCACAAAAATAAATTAGGTTGATTTCAAACGTATTCCATGTTTGAAGTCATGTGAAATCAATGTTTAAAATAAAAATAATGTTACGTTTATTTTAAAAATATTCGTGTTGAAAACAAACGTATTTGTTTTTGTTTGGTTTGACAGCTATGCGAACAAAAATAAATATTTGAATTTTAAACATGCTTCTCATGATTAAAATAAACATACATATTTTGAACTTATGTTAATAGTTGAGTATAATAATAGGTTTTCACTGGAAATCCTACACAGCAAAAAAATAATTTTGATATCACGTCAAAGTGGATGCACTACAATCATGTCGAAAATATGGTGTAATATTACTTGCTAAAAAGGACAAAATTATCATTAATACAATGCATGAACTGACATTACGCTGCTTTTACTGCATTTGTTTATTTATGTGGTCATAAAAATTACATGAAATTTTCGACATGATTGTGGTGCATCCACTTTGATGTGATATCAAAATAATTTTTTTGCTGTGTATGTATGAGTGCTCATTGCAAGACAGCCTATATTACATGATATAAGCCATAGTCTGTCCGGGGTATAAGGGTGACCTGTGGGCTCGCCTGTGGGTATTGAGGTCCTGAGCCGGGATGCAGGGACCCGTTGGAGGGGGTGTCCGGGGGTTCCAGTTCAGTGGAACCGGTGAAAATTTGTTATATTAGCGTCGTTTTGTTGTTATGCCACTAGTACTCATATCGGTTTCTTTATACGTTTGGTGTCGGAGGAGGATCCGGAATGGATTCAAAATCCATTTCGGATTTTCGTTGTCCTTTCGAAGTCACGTGTGGAGGAGGATGATATAGGGATCGGCATCAGAAACTGAAGTTGATACTGTGGGGTTCCGCCGGTTTTGTCGAGCTGGTTTCCGGAAATGAAGAATTCTGGATCAACAATAGAAAAGGGCCCATCAGCATTTGTAAACAAAACGTTCTAAAGCCTTTCCTCACAAAGCGAAGGCCACCCACGCAAACCAACACTATCATCGGATAGGGGAAAGTTTCCCACAGTGGTGCCAATTCAAATGATAATCATTTTGATCTTAAATAAAGTGTTATACAGTACATATTTTTCAACGACAAATCACTTTGTCTCTAAACGGAAATCACTTGGAAATCAATGATAAATCACGTCGATTCGTAGTGCCACATGTCAGACTAAATCAAGTGCAAGAGCATTTGGATTAGATGTGACAACTTTTTACCGTGTAGATAGAGCTGGAATTACGGCGTAACAGTGAGCGTAACAGCTTTTGTAAACAATGACTTCTCTCGATGATTTCTAGAAAGCAAAGGCTCGTCCACGCAAATCAACATCACCATCGGATAGGAGAAGGTTTGCGTGGGCGTGCCTTGAATTCCTAGAAATCTGATCGGGACACGGACTCAGGACTCCCGCAATTGGGGATAATGATTCATCATCAAGCTCAACATTATAAAAACAGACCATTTCAGCCTCTAATAAGGTAGATTATCGATAATTATATGAAGCAATGAGCGGATAATAATCATCAAGTCAATGATTGACCGATGGCTGATATGGCTGAGATATTTCTTTCTAATTTGGTAGTCATTCCATATACGCACTACGAAATCAGAGAGATTTGGCCTACAGCCAGCGGTTAATTCTTGCAGGACGAGTCTAAGGGGCACGATAATGA